TATTATATATATATATATATATAAATACTAAATATTTTATATTGCTTTTTACAAAACTGATACTTTTGTAAAACATAAGATCGAAGTTGTGTAATATAACTCAATATCTGTGGATAAAGAAAACAAATGCAAACGCAAATAGATTTTTATTTTTATTTTAGGTGCCTTTTTCAAAATAAACGCACATGTAATTACAGTATATATATTGATATTTCTGAATATTTAATATATTCACTACATAATATATATGTATATGTATCGATGCAGCATACTTATCGAGCATTTATAAGCAGGTTTCAAGTGCAACATTCCGTTGTTCACTATGCGATTTATTATATATTTATATCTTTCGTACGATATATGCGATTAAACGTAGACTAAGTACCTCACTCGCTGCAAAATTCAAATTATGTTAAGCGCACAAATTTATTTCATACATTGCAGCTATATGTATATAATAATATACGTTACATTTTTGCATATTATATGTAGCTTTTAACATTAAAACGATCTCATTGCTAACAAAGTTGTAACGTAAATGTAAGTCTGACACACATCTGAGATTAATGTTACACGCACATTCGCAATAACTTTCAGTGATTTGTTGTTTACAAATTGTGCAAACCCATGTGTAAAGTAAGTGATTTGTAAGCACGTAAAAATAGTGCCTTAAGATTTTATAAAAAATGTCAATAATTTTTTATTGTAGATGTTATAAAATTATATTACAATATTTTGCACAAAACGATAATTGTTATTTACATTATTTACGAAACCGTAAATTCCCAGAATGTTATTTTCTAAAAATTTTATTGTGTGGATATTATAAAATCATAATATTCGCATATAGCTAATTACAGAAATATAGAATTCCTAGAATTTTAAAATTGAATACAGTAAATACTCGAATCATGAAAATAAAATTTTCTAAAGAAATTAAAATCTTGAGTACCTAAGCTAAAATAAAATTAAATTCTGTTTAAGTCAACGGTCATGGAGTACGAATAGCTAGACGCGATGCACTCCATCCGGAAACAGCTGGCTCCGAGTGTAAAGACATTTCTGACGTTCCTGACGCCAAGTGTATACACGTATACGTGTGGTAAAACTGCAGATACAGTTGTAAAGATATCTCGAAGATAGTTTGATAGCTGGTGATCAATTATGATTAGCTGAAATCGACAAAAACAGAGAAAAACTGGTAATTGTAGGTCAAGGTCAATTTGCTCGTCATTTAATCGATTTCTGCTGTTGACAGAAATCGTAGCAACTTGCCGGTTAAATACTATCTATTCCAACGAAATGCCAGGCTCGATGATAATTTTGTGATAAAACAATTTAAATTGTGATTTGAATCTAATATACAATATATAATTTTTACAGTGCTTAAAAATCTTGTATCATTTTGTAAGATAAACGTTTCAGTATTCAGATAATTGCGACAGAAACAATACATGTTTTCAATATCGACTGCTTCGAATGAAATATATATGTTATATACACATTAAAATTGTTTATCGTAGCTGTTTGTTTTTTAAATAAAATTATTAGTTCAGATTATTAGCATAACTTTTGTATATAGTTATATAAATTGATAGATTATCTTTATAATTAGTTTTTCAGTTTGTCATTAATTTATGAAATTTCAGAGTTTCAAGATGCAGAAATTTAAGAAGGCTCAAGCACAGAATAAACTGTCTATTGAAAAGCACTTGGAAGCCAATGCATTGTTGAATTCGTCTAGTGAAGATGAGGATGAAACTAACGAAGAAGATGTCCAAAATGTGGTGGGCAAAGTATTGTTAGCGTACCAAGGACAGAGCACAGATGCCGAAAAAGTGATATCGTACTTGGTGAATTCCTTTCAAACCAGCAGTGCTGTTTGTTTGATATGTATATCCACTGTCAAGAAGATAGATCCAGTATGTTTAAACAATACAATATATTATCTCAACATGTTGTTACCTTGCTAGCATTTTAATTACATGTTAAATATGTTTTTAAATATTATATGCAAGGCTAGACAGTCTTTTATGCTAAGTTTTCTTCAATTTAATATAAGTATTAATATCTAAATAGAAAAAGAAAATTTTTTAATTTTATTAATGCAATCAAAACTTTTATATATATATATATATCATATTGACTGATTTTATTATTTTAAAGTTATGTTTAAAATATATATGATATGATTTTAATAGCACTAAACAAGGCTGATGAGAGCAGTTTATTATCATTTCTCTATTTTTTTCTATGCAGATATGGAACTGCGACAAGTGCTACGCATTTCTACACATGTCTTGCATCTTACACTGGATCAACGACAGTTTGAGCTGCAAACGGGCTAAAGGAATCACACCGATCTGGGCCTGGTATGTATTTATCAAGACTTCCATGAAAAACACATAAAAAAAAACCTCTATTTAATATATCAATAAAAATGCGTATTATTACAGTCCAAAATGCCGTATGGAATATGATCAGGATCAGATTCCAAGATTGTACAAATGCTTCTGTAAAAAGTCGATAGATCCTCAGTATCAACCATGGATTATTCCGCATTCTTGCGGTGAACCCTGCGGCAAGCTTTTACAACCAGAGTGCGGTCACAAATGTGTGTTGCTTTGCCATCCTGGTCCATGTCCACCCTGCGCTAAGATGGTATCTGTTAAATGTTATTGTGGCAAGCTACCGGCGCAACCGCGACGTTGCAATGCTAAAAACTGGAGTTGCGGAACTATATGCAATAAAAAATATGAATTTTGTTCACACACTTGTGATAATGTGTGTCATACTGGAGAATGTTCCCCTTGTGTAGAAACAGTAGTATTGAAATGCCATTGTAAGAGTAACGAGAAAGTAGGGAAATGCTACGAGGGTATATGGATTTGCGAAAAACCTTGCAATAGGAAATTCTCTTGTAACGTACATAGCTGTGAAAGCACTTGTCATCTACCCGGCGATTGCAGCAACTGCCCCCTGGAAAAGAACAGACATTGTCCTTGTGGAAAAAAACGATACGAAATTTCTTGCAGGCGGCAGCAAGTGCCAACGTGTGGGGATACGTGCGGCAAGTTGTTGGACTGCGGATCGCACTTCTGCAATATGAGATGCCATATCGATCGCTGTGGTCAATGCTTAGAAGTCGTAACAAAAGCGTGTAGATGCGGTAGTTACACGAAAGAGATTGCCTGCGCAAAAGAGTTCCACTGCAACAAGAAATGCATGCAAATGCGCTTATGCGGTAGACATTTGTGCAACAAAAAATGCTGCGACTGCATATCGAAGAACACGTCCAATCATTGTGAAAAAACGTGCGAGAATACGCTCAACTGTCGTAAGCACAAATGCGCTGCACCTTGTCACAGTGGTCCTTGCTATCCATGTACCAGAACGGACACTATACAGTGTCGATGTGGCAGCAGCAAGATAACGGTGCCATGTGGTACCAGAAAGAGAATCAAGCCACCACCATGCCACAAATCTTGCAAAATCCCACCTATCTGCCATCACAGCAAGAGAGAAACACACAAATGTCATCAAGGCCCATGTCCACCATGTAAAAAGGTCTGCGGTTTGACTCACAAGAGATGCGGTCACTCTTGCCCAGCCACTTGTCACACCAAAGTCTGGATGAAAATTAGAGCGAACGGAGTAAAGGCGCAGCCTATTGGACCCTGGGAAAAACCAAAGGATATTATGGAACTGAAGACTTTGCCATGTCCACCGTGCGAGGTTTCCGTGTCTGTGACTTGTCTCGGTGGTCACGAAACGCGCCCTTGGTCATGTCACATGTCGAAACCAAGCTCCTGCGGTAGACTTTGCGGCCAGCTATTACCATGCAAGAATCACACTTGCGAGTTGACTTGTCACAAACTACAGACTTCTGACAACGAGTCCAACAACGGTATTCCGTGCATGGAATGCGAGAAGGAGTGTAGTTTCGCACGACCGTCTGGTTGTACGCACACGTGTCCGCAACCTTGTCACCCAGCGCCATGTAAACCGTGTAAACAATTAGTGCGAGTCTCTTGCCATTGCGGTATTAGCACCCTTTACCGGCATTGCGTGAACTTGACGTCTGCAACGAGCAAGGAACGGGATGAGTTACTCAAATGCGGGAATCAATGTCCAAAAAATGTAATTTATACATTTATGTTCGGCAAAATATATTATCGCTTAAAAGTATTTGCCCATTTCGATTTTTGTACGTATCTTATTTTGTACATTTAAATTCCATCTAATTCTAAACTGTATCTTTTTTATATATATAAAATGCAAAATTTTGAACCATTAAACATTATTAAGTATAACATCTAGAAAGGAAAGAAGATTGAAATTTATTCTTTTTAGTTAAGAAAACTAGAGAGGCAAATACTTTTGAGTGGTAGTGTATGTATAAATTCTTTCTTTAATATTCTTAAAATTCTTTCTTTTTTATTTTTTGCTTTTAACGAAATACAATCTGTTTTGTTTTTATTTTAGTATCGATGCGGCCACCGTTGTATCAATGATTGTCATCCAGGAGAATGTAAAGGCGGAGAAGGATGCAGCAAGAAAGTCAGATTATGGTGTAAATGTAAACGAATCAAAAAGGATTTTCTTTGTTCACTTCTTCAAAAGGAGCAGATTACCGTAGCATGCGATAGCGTATGTGAATCACTGAAAAATGAGAGAAAAGAGGCTCAAGAGGCTATGATAGCGAAAAAGCTGGAAGAGGAGGAACTGCGTAATCGAGAGGAGATTGAAAAATTCGAGAAAAAGTTCAAGCCACGACGAAAGAGGAAGGACAAATACGAGAACTCGAAACAATCCAAAGAAAACGCGAGAAATAAGTGTCACATTGCATGGATTTTAGCGATTATCGTAAGCATTATAGGAATAATAATAGTTTATATGACCGTTCCTGATTTAAGTATACCTGGATTGAGCTGATTTTACAAACTGATCTCAAATCTGTGATTATTTACGATAATCTCATTATTGATAACGAACGCTGATTCTACAATGAGTCGGTAGTCCTAAGTCTTATCGGTGAAGTTGACCAATAGCCAACTTGCACGACTAAGGCTGATTGGCTAACTTCACCGATTAAGACTTTCGACTACCGACTCATTGTAGAATCAGCATAATAAAAGATTTGTGATGCATCGATTTATGACTCCTGTACACAGAACGCGGCAACGCTTGCCGCGCGGTAGAAGTTGGCGCGATAGCAAATCAACGTCTCGCTTGTTCGGAAGTAATAGATATATAATTTCCACCGAGCGACAAAAGTTGAACTCAATCCAACTTTTGCCGCGCGGCGGAAGTAATATTACATCATTTCTAGAAGTTTTGCATGGTGACTTAAGAACATAGAATTAATGGCTGCGTTCAGCAGACTCAATAGTTTTGCAACCGTTCTGTGATTCTTTGCTGAGATAGGACTATTCCTTTGAATCTAAAAGTATAATCCAATCAGCGCGACGAATCATAAAACGGTTGCAAAACTGCTGAGTGCTGAACGCAGCCATTGATTATGTTATAACTTCCACCGCGCGGCAAGCGTTGCCTCGTTCTGTGTGCAGGAGCCATTATACGGATTTTATTAGCGAATTCGATTGGACGCACAAGTCGTATAACACTGATTTAATCTGAGTGTAAAAGTAAAATGCAAATACATTGCGAATTATGAAATACATATATTTTACCTAATAACACAATAAAGTATATTGAGTATTTCACCGGTTTAACCGGTTTCTATATTTATAATAAACACATATCTTTACGTCAATTTGAGTATGGCTTATGTGCACCATTGCGCACTCAATGTCCAATTAAATTCGCTGTATGATAAGCGTGATACCATTTATCTAATTTATATTGCAAATATAAGTAGTCTTGCAATTGTAGCATTCCTTATATATATACATATATAAATATACATACATTTGTAATCACTGATAAAGGCCTAGTAATCACTCAAAGGAACTTTCCGAGATTTGAAGAGATTTGTAGTTACAGTGCTTTTACAATCTTATGATACAAATTAAAATAAAAGATGCTATATAAAGCCCAAAGTATTTTAATTAAAATTATTTTAATGTAATTTGTGTAAACTGTATCTTAAATGCTAATTTAACATTAACCGTATGACTTTTTAATCAATATTATCTATATAAATATATTCAATAATTATCGATAATTGTCATATGTGGAAAAAAGTGCAATACATTGCATGGAAACGTGAAGAATAGAATAAAAGTTAAATAGGATAATCAAAGTAGGAAGATTTTTGCATTCTAAGAACAGTTTAAATAATTAAAAAATTTGCATTTTTGTAAAAGACGCATCATATTTGTGAAATATCCGAAAATTATTGGAAATACTCTGATAATAAAATAAAAAGATGGCAAAAAAGTAGAATGTATAATAAATTTATATATCTTTATATTTCCCAAGATTCCTTCTTTCACAATTGTTCTTGATTTAAATTGTTTGATTGGAGAAATTTAAAATTTAAATGCACTCTGCATTCTATTTTTCTTTCTGCATGGAGATTTTGAAAAGAACAGATATTTTCTATTTTTTTTTTCCATACAACTCAAACTTTGATGTATATTTATAAACAATCTGAAGGATAAATATATTTAAAAAAGACAGTATAAATAGCAAAAATGATGTAACTTTCACAAACGCAATTGAATTTATTCGGAACAAAACAAGATATACTTCAGGCTTTGGACTGTGCTCGAAAACACTACCCAAGTGCCTCCGAGTATCATTTTATTCTTGTTTAACATTCGGTGAATATAACAAGGATAAAATGATACTCGGAGATGTTTTCGAAATAGTGTTTTTGTAGCCCTGGATGAAAAAATAAGCTTCGTTTCTTGTGTAAATAAATTTTCTGTACTTTTTCTCCCTCCAATTGTTTTTCATGTGTTTTAATTTTAAAAGTACAACGTACACGGCAATCAGAAACAGCTGCATACAGAGAAAGAGAAGAGAAATGGATGAATAAAATACACATGAACAAAGTTCAATTCTATATTCTTCATAGATGTATGTTATAAATATCCCATTATCTACGATTGAAACTTTAAACGAGACAACTATCTCGCGATGCAACAAAATCAATTTGTTAAGTTCGTTCCGCTTTAAGAGTTAGAAATCAAAGTGAAAGTACCAGAAAAGATTTCTTTAGATATTTTGATGAACACCATTTATTTAACAAAATAAACATAAATTTATATTTGATTCTAGACTTTTTGATTCAATTCTCTTTCACGTTTGATCATATAACTCGCACTTCCTTTTAACATTCTCTGCTCGTTTTTGTGGTACCGAGAATTGATTGCGCATCTTGAAACTGGGATTGGGAACATTACTTCATAAAAATAACGCGTTATGGTTATTTTTTATAAAAACTAATTTAATTAAAATACAATAAAAGAATATTTATTTTACGACTGTTAGAAATTTCTTCGCTGAGATAGGACTACTCTTCTGAATCTAAAAGCATAATCCAGTCAGTGCAAAAAAAACTTCCAACTATTGCAAAATAAATATTTTGTTGAACGCGACCAGTTAAGCGAGCGCTTATTGTTATTGGTCTATTCTTTTCTTTTAGATCATCCAATTAGACCTTTAGATCTAGAAGAATACACCAACAGCAACGAGCATTCATTTAACTGTCGAGCTGTTAAATTAACGGTGCAGACAATAGCTGCGTTCAATAGAGAAAGCAGCTTTGCAACTGTTGTAAAATTCTTTAATATGATTGGTCTTGCCTTTAGTTCCTCACTGGATCTAAATGTATAAACCAATCATATTCAAGAATTTTACAACAGTTGCAAAGCTGCTTTTTCTGCTGAACGCAGCCGTTATCAACGTCGATACCAGCCGATGGCCAAGCGAAAATAACACGCGAAATGCAACAAGATGCACGATCGCGACGCTAGGGCGGCCGCGCGATCGCGAGGCAGTCGTCGACGACGTCGACGTATCCGTCGACGATCACGAGAGCGATCCTACGAACGCTACGCACGTAGTGCCCGTTAGTGGTCGTGATTCATGTGTCGCGGGCATTCGTTACTTGCTAATAGTGGCGGATATCCCCGTGCTGCCCCGTGCTGTTGACAGCAGCGGTGTTGTTGGCGCAACGACGAGAATTCGCTCCGCCGTCGTCGCGTCAGCGTTCTACCGTGCTCCATAATTATGTCACGAGGACGACCGCGTTCGCGACTACCTCATTGAGATCGGTGAGTGGTGAGAGCGATCCACCACCGCGAATCTTTTCCTGCTGCAGGACGGAATAAACGGGCGATCGACCGCCAAGACTCGTGTTGA